AAGAACAAAAACGTTTACTAGATAACGAGAAAGCTGGTTTAAAACAAGTCAGTTTATGGAAGGATTTATTAAGTTTATTGGAGATGAAACGAATCGCTAGAGAAGCCAGCGAAGCACGTGAAAAAGCCGGTGGTGAATATGCAGATGTTGCAAAAATAGAAAAAGACAGAATGTTACTATGATATTATGAAAATATAATTGACTTTAATTGATTTAGATGTAAATACACTAACACTTACAGAAGACAATACTATCAATAATATTGATTTACTTTTGCATAAGAAAAGAGAGTTAACCGGTAATATTGTAACTTTTAACAAGTAATTAAAAATGTTGTTCCATAGTACAGTGTAATCACATTTCAATCCATTTTTTAGCTAGTGTTTTTTAACAGGACTAGATCATAGGGAAAACTGATGTCATTTCGAGAAGGATACGCATCTAGAAATGTAAATGAAAACAAGAAGTTCAGTTAAGAGGCTCCTTTTGTCGACTACTTTCACTTAGCTGTACATTTGCAATTATGTACAAATATTTGCGTGTATCTACATTTAGTTTATCAAGCATAGTCAGAAGCGGAATAAATTTGGAATATCGTTTGCACCATCAGAATATTTCGGAATGATAACGATTAGTCAGAATGCAGCTAAGGTTATGGAAATCCGTAAGCTTAGACTTAAAGCTGAGTAATACAAAAAATACTTCAGAAAATTGGGTATTAATACACAGAGTATGGGGACAAATACGAAAATATACTACATAACACATGAACAGAATAAACAAGAGGGTAGATATGAAAATGGTGCTATTAGTTAAAATACCAAAAACCAAAATAGTAACAACAACAAGATAATGAAAACAGTTGAATGTAGAATTATGTTTAAGGTTGACGAAGTGGGTGGAAGAAATTTTTCTGTGTCCATAAACTTGATTTTTCATATTAACAGCTTAGAACTTATTGATGCAAAGAGAGCGAAAAAATAATATTTTGAGAAGGCTTCTTTCAACTCTGTAAATAAATTTGGATGAATCTACCTTAGAGACTGCTGATGAAAGTTTGCACCAGAATGTCGGATATCTTTTCTGAACAACATAGAAGCATTGATTTGATATTAGTTGTAGAAATTCAAACCTTCCTCGTTGTAACGCGTTCTGTAAATCTCCATTGATCACAGAGTAATCAAGACCTGTTTTTTGTACCCGGTCCATTTTTGGCTGGCTTCAGTATTTGCCATCTGTAGTTGAAACGAAGCTGTCCAGGTCTGGCAAGTGAAAGAGACCACCTTCTTTAGAATTCTGCTGTTGATGTTTGTTACTGATTGGTTATCTTTGGCATCCCTGTCCTGTATATGTTCACCTGAAAGCGTGTATTCACTGCCCTTACTACTAACTTGTTAGTTTTTTCTTGTATACCTTCGATGTTTTGCTTTACGAGATATAAATCCTCTGAGGAATTTAGATTTTATAGTCTTTCCACGATGATACATCTTACTATTTTACTTTCCGAACAACTTCTTGAATATGCTTAGACAGTTTAATAAGGTAGCCTTCCTTCCACTTCACCGGTAGGTATCTCTTCTTCCTTTCACACATACTGAAATAATGGCGTGACCATGTACACTAAGATCTCTGGCCCCGGTTTCAGTGCTTCAAGGGGGTTCTATTTTGTCTTGTTGCTTTTCCGCCTCTTGGTAACTTAATGGCCTTCAGGACCTCTGCTTTTGACGAAGGGTTGGTGTTCACTTACAGCTGTGTCTGTTGTAGATGATGGTCATCTGAGTAGTTCATTGAAGCGGTCGGTTCAACGTTTTCTTTGTAACTGGATTTCTTCCTCCGTCTTTCACTGGCTTCAGCTGCATTGATTTCTCCTCTGGATAGCAGCAAAAATGAATTTCGAGATAATGGAGAAGATCTGTAGCTCAGGTGGACAGTTAATTAACTTTCAGAGCCATATCTCACCAGTCAGAAAACAAAACCTGGTACTTTCATTATACTCAAGAAATCAGAAAATCTGTTTGGAGTATATAATAGAGACTAAACTGAAATCTCTGCATGATGCCCTATAAGAAAGTAGATATCCATCTAAATTTATGGACAAGGACATGAGAGAAAAGCCGCCGTTGCCGAAGGTCTCAGTTGTTTTTCAGAAAACCGTCTTCATAAACCTGGAGTTCAAAGGTGATATCAAAACCGAAATCCTCAAAAACCATCTTTCCAAGTGTCTGAAAAAGATATTTAACGCTACTGCCTCGAGAACTACATTCTACAGAAGACAGTTAGTCTAGTAATACGTTGAGGATAAGATACTGTTTGTGATTACCACAATATGCATTTATCAGTTTGCTTGTTCCTATGGATCAAAATACATCAACCGTACACAACGCCAGGTCTGGTTCGTAAAATTATTTCGGAATACTATACAGTCCAGCTAACCAGAGGGGAAAGGAGAATTTCATTAGTGCTATACTCGAGCATCTTGTCAACTCTAAACATTGGGTACTCATACACGACAGCTTCAAAGCGATTCACAGAGCCTCACATTTTCACACAAGAGGTCTTCGGTTTATACATAGCCGAGTCAGCATCTATTCAAGATTTCAATCCAGAGCTCTGTGTTTTCAAGTAATGCATACACCAACTTGCCTTACCATGACCACTAATTTGGTTTCATTTCACTGTTTAGTTTAGTATTATGCACTTAAAAAAAGTGATATCATGTTATCCCGGTCAGGTTATTGTTCTCGCTTTTTTCCAAATGGCCTTAACTATTTTGTGACTACTGTCATCATTGTTTATCAGTATTATTGAAATTCTCATGCAGACATCATTGAAACACTTAGCTGTATCTCCACCACTTTGTCTATTTTGTACACTCGGATAGATTAGGTCATTTTTACACTTATTTATGTGAAACCGACATTCGTTTCTTAATCTCCACTTGTACATTCCCTTCTAGGTTATACTTCCTTCACATTAGGTTAAACATTTTTAGGACGAAATAATTTCTGGTATTTGATTGGTTTTATTAGTACGAATACGATTGTACAACTTTAAGAAAATGATTTTTCTTAAAAATGAAGAGCTTAATGTCGAAGAGAATACAAAGGTGGTAGATAAATGAATCAGTACGGAATTTTTACAGGGCAACCGGATAGGAACTATCTATGAGATTATGAACCGGAGTAAATCAACAGCACCAAAAATAATTTATGTCGTTCAGAGTGAAAATAAAATGAAGAGGTTTCACAAATCCTTGTGACATTACAATATAACAGTTTCAATGTAATAAAAAATACCGCTCTAGATACACGAATTAGTAGTTACAGGCACTGCACTGTTCAATAATAGTGGGCTTTCCTTGAGTACCACAGAAGTAACTCACTAAACGAAAATGCACATGTATATCATGTCAACCAAAGTCGTTAACATGTCCACAATACTGAAATGCTGCAGTGCCTACATAGTTGACAATATATTACACACATGGCCTAAAACAACACAATTGCGTTATTCAAACATTATTATTAAGTAAACTGAGTACTAACATACAACTCATTTAAAATAATTTTGTAAATTAGTTCGTAGATAGTCTGCTACAAGCTGAACTAATCATAAGTAGGACTGTTTAGTGAGCACTCCAAAGCGTGATTCACTTAACTGTCAACTAGGTTGATGGCAATTCTGAAGTCTACGACAATAAGCAGTGAAAAAAGCATTTAAACAATGAGACGGAGTTGTAACTAATCAATGCAACAACGGAGAATTGAAACCTGCTTATGCACTAGTCTAAAAACCATACTTAATAAATACATGATTGCCAGTCGCTTAGGCCAAAGTAGGTGGAATTCGGTTTGAAACAAGAGTCCGATGTTCGAAAACAGAATTCTTGTTTACTCATATTTTGAATAAAGCTATTAGCGTTAAATAGAAATGAGAATTATTTCGTTTTACTTTACACTTACTGAAAAACAAAAGTCACGAATAATTACAATTATTTACCGAATGTTCAAATTCTTTCAAACAGCTGAACTTGATTCAGACATCTACCTAGGCATGATCATTAATGTTTAGTAGTGTTTAAAAAAGCTGCTTAGATTATGCCCAATCCAACTGACTACATGCAAATCACTTGTATGGTGAGCAAGCGATAATCCACACAGTTAAAACAAAGTACGATGAACAATAAGTCAACCTTTGAGCTAAAAACACAAACCAAATACATTCAGTATCAAATAATTAAATGTTGAGAAACTTAGAAGCGCAAGATTAACCTAATGTTTTCGTGTATTTACATGTAAATCATGAGCAAAAAGGCAACTGAATAGCCAAAGAAATGCTAACTGTAGCTTCTTTCTAGCATAATTTTGTTACCAATAATAATTGCTTGTGAGGATAGAATATCACTTACACATTCCAGTTGTAACCTAATGACAGTAGTTATCCATGAAGTTTACGCGGTGTGTTCATGATACTTTGGACCAATAAATTTATGCGTGAAACTTTCAGAAACAAATTTTATTTATTTAACAACGGGTTTTAAAATTTTAGTCGGTTTTCAGCGTTATTATTAATGTGAGAAGTGCATTTATATCTTTTCGTCTTTATGCATTTGTAACCACTGAGTTAGCTATTGTAGATAAGTAATAGGTGTACGTTCAGAGCCTTCATCAAACGATGTGACAAACATCGACTGAAAGTTTATAATACTGAATAGAGTGGTATGATAGGATTCTATGAATGGTCTCATCAACGCACATGATCAATTCCCAACATCACCTAACTTCCGTTATGAGCAATATCATAACTTTCAGATATTCTAGTAAGAAATCATAGGGCAGAAGGAATCCAATACTGCAAACATTACACATGACACAACCTATTTTTACTTCTGAATGTCCTGGGTTTTAACCTAATTAAAATTTGATGCTGACACAATTTTACTGTAGACAAGGCATAACATAACATAACCAGTACAATTGTAACACTGATAAAGACGTTAATTAATAGACAAAATTACTTTATTGAAATAAATACCAACCAAATATACTAAAGACTAAGAGGAAAACACAAACAAATAAAACTTCAGACACTAATCATGAATTTTAAAAAAGCCAACAAAAAATTATAAGATGATCGATGTACAAATATGGTCAAGTAATAAACTTTCACGATATATATATATATCCTCACATCAACTAGTTATAAAAAGAAAATGTGATTTCTTTGGTTGAAACACAAGTTCTATCATTTATGAGATGAGAGAACAACAAAGACAAAACAAATTGAATTCATGTTAATGTGAAAAGGGTAGAAACAGAAGATTATTGACCTCCGATTTACGTGTTGACACAAAGATAAATAAGTCAAAAATACAAGTATATCAGTCCCGTAGAGCAGTTGCCATAGGATCAACATTCAAAAGTGTTACTGCAACAATCAAATCACACACACTGAAATACAATGCATCTTCAAAAAACAAGATTTGAAATATCAGAAAATGATGAAAAGAACAAAGAAGTAAAAGAGAAATAGTATTAGGGTTTTATCAAATAATAATAAACATTCTGATTTCTAAGAAAAATGCCTTGTGAATTCATTTCTCAACCGAAAGGCGGACAATATATAAACAAACGCAAAGATATAAAATGAGAGGACTAGAATGCAGTGGAAATTACCAGTGCGCAAACATAGGAAGTATGATCAAGCCACATCTGTCTTGTCATCTTGGTTGTTTTTTGATTGTACTATTCTAAAGTTCCGATGGCAGCCATCATTGCAACTCCGGCGATTAAAGACACTATTTCAAGAAGACTCTGAATGAACAGTTTGAATCCACCACTTGATGCTTTCGTCGCATTATTACTGCCACTATTGGCCGCGAGTAGGTCAGGTAGCACAGACGTCATAGCAATATAGATAAAGCCACCTGCGGTAAACGGTAAAATGCGGCCAATAACAATATCATCCGTTATTTCTGGCAACATGTCAGTATTAGGAATAACAGGACCGAATCCAACACGAGCAGCAATTAGGCTAAGATATGCGCCTAAAAGTGCACCGAACGCAGTAACGAGCTGTAGAAGCATAGCCTACATAATAATAAATAAGTTATATGAAATTAGTATTATCCACAGTGCAAAACTAATAAGTTGCTTATACTGCTGAAAATAAAGATACTATTTTAAAGAAACACATCACTATCCAATATAATTTTCAAAGGTGTGAAGTTGCTATTAGATGTAAATAAAAGTACGCATTATGGATACAACAATTTTCACAGCTGAGTAGGAAGGTGCAAGCCGTAAAACTAACAAGCTACTTATATGAAACATTCGTGCCCTGTTTGCATTTTGTTTAAAAACAAATGGTAGTAATCACTAAAATTTGATCATTACTATACAGACCTTAACAAAAAGTGATACGGGTTCGATACTTACAAAACTACCTACAGTATATATATATATATATATATATATATATATATATATATATATAGATCGTGCCTTTACATTCCGCATGGAACGTAAGGTTTCAGGTTTTGAAGTATCGGTACTAGCAGTGTTGTCTTTCAGGGACTGGTTGTTAGATCATACCTAACATTCAACCATTTCCCGGCTTACTACCAGCTAGAAAACTAGACAAGGTTTAGGAGGGCCTCAGCCAGGAATCGAATCCAGACCACGTAAGTGACTGGTGAGCATCCTACCTCTGAATCACCAACACATACTTAGGTGGGGAGGCACTCAGGTATATGCAACTACTTTTTTCACACCAGAAACACTGGAAGGACGAAAGACAGGAGGAACTAAACACAAATCAGTTTTATATAGTCCTTACCGCCAATATTCAGCAACTCTTAAGAAACATTTTAGGATGACGCTAAAATTGACTCTTAGAAGTACAACATTTAAGCAAATGCAATTTTAACCTAAATTTCCAAAAGAATATACATTTGAGGTGTAAGTGAATTGCCTGTTAATGATGAGTCTACGTTCCATTCTATGAATACAATTAAATACGCAACTCATACTATTCCAACCAAAGTAAATACGCAATACGACTTACGATTTCTCAGTATTTCGACTTTGAAGGTTAAAAAACTACTGAAGCCATAAGAAAACATACACGACATACCTTACGTGAAGAAAATCCTGACTGTATTAAGATTGCGTAGTCTCCAATCTCATGTGGAAGTTCATGTAGCAATACTGTGAAAGTGGTTAGGAATCCAACATTCCTACTAACCAGGAAGGATCCACCTAAATCATACATAAATATATATAAATCCTTCGATTAACTATGGGTTTACGATAAACAACAAATGTGTAACCAGAAGTAACAGTAATAATCTCGAACTTACCCACTCACTTATGATGTAATTTTACTAATTTGACCTTTGACCTAAAATATTTGCATGATAATATTACAACCCATTTATCTATCTATATTCTGTATCCGATCTTCGTATTTATTACACTTTGTAATTTTATTAACTTCACCTTTGACCAGAAATAGTTATGGAACTTTCTCACCCATTCACTTTAAACACACGAATAAACAGCCTAGTTGATGACTTCGTCGAAAAGAAAATTTTCTTCGCTGCAACCGTGTTTTTATTATTCCCTATTATAAATAATAGTGCAAATCAATTACCCCACACAAACACACTGACTGAAAATAAGGAGCTGAAAACAACCAGTCTTTTCTGAGGAATACATAGACGTATCAACAAACAAAAAACAACTTACAATACTATAATAGCATGAATTTTCATATAAACAAAAGTCTACACACGCAAAATTAAATGTACGTAATGCCAAATCAAGTCCATGATTGCTACAATCATATATGATACTTACAGTTTATGAATCAGTTCTGCTTTTCACAGCGGAACAAAATAAGAGGTGGCAGTTCGATACTTGTTCATACTACCAAACTCTTCGTCAACCAGTGAACTATTCCTAACATCCATTACCAATAACAAGTTACCAGACAACACCTCAAAACGGTGGTAAAATGTTTTAAAAACTACTTTGATGTCTACATTATGTATTCAGTAACGTAGTTACTACATATAACAGTAATGAATATGATGGATGTGACTCACCAATGGCTAAACCATCCGTAAAATTGTGTGTAAAATCCGCCGCCAGATTTAGATATCCAGCAACTTTGAAATCAGAAGCTAGAAATAAGGGGAAAATAACAAGTTTAGGAATTTTAAAGTCCCATAAAAAAGCACATTTCAGTCACACATCTAATATAAGAAATGAATTATCTAAGACCAATGTTTTAAACCATGAGACCTATGCAAACCTATTGTACATTAAATTATTGGGATTAAGGAAATGATAGGATTAGAAACATACGAAAATAATTTGACTCTGCACTGGCTCTTGACAGCACCAAAGCCAGACACATTTGATGATCAGTCGCCTCGCCATTCGTTTCAGACAATCTACAATCCACATAATTCATCTTTGTCACTCAAAAATTGCAATACGGTTTTGCTTTTGACATTAGTTGAGAACTATTTTTGGAATATTAAAATCTACCATACATTAAGTAAATGGTACAACAGAAAATTGTACTGAGCATCATTATCAAATATTAGTGGACGTCAGGGATATCACTCATGCGAAAAATAGGATATTTTAGTGATGAATATAACAGATTTTTTATCGATTTTGCCATTTCGTTAAATAATATTTAACCTCAAGTTTCCAGAAGTGTCTTATTCATTTGATTGCTCTACATCAAGAAGTCAGTATGACATCGAGGGATGAAGGATATTTGTGTTAGGTTAGCATCGGTTGGTGCATCACGACTCCCTGGTTGGAGTTCGAGAGATAGCTCGAATCGTTATCGGATATGGCCAAGAATCGCAATCAATAGCAAACGTGCTGCGATTTTCTTCTTTCTTCCCTTTCCGACAATAGTTGACTAATGCTATTTGAACTTGTTAAATATGACTGCTTTCCTCCCAGATGAAGTAATTTATTCATTCTCTATATATATTTTTACTTTTTATCTCACATGTTGTTTTGTTATTATTGTGTGGCGCATCTTCTTGGTGCCATATTGTACCACGTTTCTTGCGTTTAAATAACGAAAATAACAAGAGTGTATTAAAGATCACTTAGGAAACAAAGTATGACATTTTAAAGGTAAGAAACGTGTGTTAAATATGTTTACGCTTCCGCTTGGTGCCCAAGAAACCTCATTTTTATCGCATTTGACCACCAACACTATGTATGCAAAGTTCGGAATGTCACCTGAAGAGATGAAGTCAGACAGAGCTAGACACTTTCAGAGGCATACCTTCTGCGGAACTAAGAAGAGTATACATCCTTGGCGGATACTCTGTTGAAGATACCCCACGATAAAACTGTACAGGGGAAACGAATGTCCGCCTACACAGACTTCAGATTATAGCTTTTAATGAGTCTTAAGGTAGGAATTTAAAAGCTACCACCACGTCAAGAAATATAGCTAGTGTTGGAGACCTATAGGTGTGTTTAAGTCTCAAGATTTGACAGAAATTGAATATCTGCTTATTATGTTCATGACTTTTCGAGCACGTTTGCGAGTTCCAGTTAGGTTTTACATGACTACAGATATTCAAGTTTCCCCACAAACTATATATGTCCAAACCAAGTTCACTTTTAACAGTTTGAAAAAATTTGGGCATTGGGTATATGATATTCATTATAATAAAGGTTTTCGTATTTCCCAATGAATGAAAAACAAAACGATATTGTTTTTACAGACGTTTCGCTATTTAATGCTAAAAGCTTTATCAAAGTATTATTAAACCGGAATTAACAAGATCTCAGCATATATATAACAAAGAGTTAAGCGGTGAGAAAATATTTATGCTGAGATTTTGTAAATTCCGGTTTAATAATACTTTGATAAAGCTACTGGCATTAAATAGCGAAACGTCAGTAAAAACAATACCGTTTTGTTTTTCTTCATAAACTACTCTAATGAATAACATTTTGCTAGGAATAGATGTCGATAAACAATAAAAACCTTGACGTAACTAATCAAATGTCTGAAAATAAATTCCGAAACTTACGTTTAACCTTGCTCCCACTTTTTAAATCTTCACTTGAACCTTTCTTCTTGTTTTTCCCTTTATTATCTCCATTAGCATTTGGTGTAATTTGGTGGCTATGTCCACCACCGTGATCATTTCTAAAAAGCCGGATACATTTTTCGACGCACAAAAATGCGAAAATCCCACCAACAACATAAAGTCCAACAGCCGAATGTCGCTTATGATCATGTGCATGTTCATGACTATGACTGTGTTCATGTGCATGCTGATGTCCATGACTGTGTTCGTGAGCATGTTTCTCGTCGTGTTTGTGTTCATGGTTAGAATATCCACTATCAAGGGCATGAGGAATTAAGTGAAGAAATGCATCTCCCAGTAAACCACCAGCCGCAAATGCGAGGAGAATCTTAAGAAATCCACGATGTTTGTTTAGATCCGGTATCAGGCATAAAATAACAAACGGAGCAACACTGATGAGTAATATAGCTGCAGTAACTTCAATCCACAGTTGCTCAGGAGACTCTTTTCGTGTTTCTTGGATGATATGAGCTTTATGCCTATAAAAAATGTTAAAACAAAAGTGCTACAATCAGATAGAAACAGGATCACAGCATAAGCCTTTCTGATTGCGTAAAGCCTAAACTGCTACTACTAGCATCATTAAATTCAGACAGTTCTTTTGGTTCTAATCAATCGGAAACTCTGATTAGTTAATGATACACTAAACATATTTGTATTTCTGCAACAAGATTAATTGCTGCTGTAGCTTAACATTTTTAATACCACACGTAAGCTTCTCTTATGTCGACAATTTAATATAAGTTAGATCGAAAATTGTTGAATTTCTTATTGCTTTAATCACCCTCGCCAGTCCCAAACAAAATGACAGCAAAATTGCAGTACCACTGGTTAAACATATCTCGACATAACCATTAACTGAGACATAGTAATACAGGTGTGTGTATTAACTGAAGAGAATGGATATTCGGAAAAAATATATAGGAATTGTATGAATCCAGATTGTAGATTAGTTGGCTACACAATTGGTAGCGTCTGACACTTAATTGTCCGTATCTCAACTGTCCTTTCAAGATCACCAAAACACACATAGATATGACTTTGTTGGCAGAAGATTGACCAGGACCTAAATGGAAAAATATTAATGCACGCATTATCAGATACTATGAACACTAGAGTTGAAATACATGCTGCTTAAGAATTAGAAGCTGAATAGGAGTGAAATAATGTAAGTTGTCCTACGCAGCTGATTAGTATTTGACCAAAAACTTAAGGAAATTAATTAATAGCCTGAATTCATCTCCCACCTACATTACAATAATATAAACGAAATTATTATTATTATACATAATTCAACATGATTACTGACACCCAAAAACTTCAGCATAAAGATGCATCAGTAACCTACTCAACATTAGCTTCTCTTGAATACTTATAGTGTGGAGGTTCATTACTATGGGCAGAAGTATGCACCCATAATTGAACCAAAAGCACAAGTAACATCAACCTAGTCATGGTGCCCGATTGAATTCACGCACTGGGAAAGGTCATGACCTACGCAGTGAAAAAGAAAAACAACTCGGAGAAAGCTAGGCCTTCTTTGAATTTTGTGTAAAGTGAATAATTCAGAACACATTACTGATCGAGCATAGCAAATAATGGAATCAGCTTCGTAAAAAAACAATGAACCAGACGAATTAACTTCAGCCATAATCTTACTGTAGCAGATGCTGACACACTTATCCATAAGTTAGCCAATATATTCCAACAACCAAATCATGTGAGTTCTAGTAAATGCTTGTGCTATTTGACCACAGTCAATATGACAAAACTCTGCATTTGTTGTCAGTGAGTAGCATTAAACAATTCCTAAAACTTATCAACATACAGCCGTCATTCAAAATTCATTGCTTACCACCACTGCTTGGGTCAACTGGTAAAGTTAAATGTACGCAGACAGTTATCCACGCCATTTGGCATGCTGCTATTTTAAGTTTAACTGATAGTGTTCGTACTCAAGTTAACTATGGTACTGGAACATATTTCTTACTTCGGGGGATGAAACTGTTGTTCAGATTTGAATTCCCAACTGTTCTCTCCTCAAATGCACCGCGTACATGGAGAGTTAGAGGGTGTATACTTGCTTCGTCTTACAACTGTATCTTAAGTAATCGTCTGCATTCTTCATCTCCTAAATCTCCCTCCCATCAAGGCAATATACTAGTATTTATTACTACTACTTCCGTGCATCTTACTGTACGGTTATGTGAAACCAATTGGAGTACTTTAGCCGGTTTCATTTGGTGTCTAGATTCGTTGTCTCTATGAGGCTTAGAAAAGAATTTAAACCCCACTAGTTAAGCTGAATCTGACTCATATGTTTGATATTATATTAACCAGGTCATTTTATTTTATGAGTTTTACAGAACACTTTGACCACCGACGCTCCCTATATTTCCACTTCAGTAAAAGTCTTTCGCAAGTTTTCAGATGTTCCTAGTTGTGCTATATGAGTGCTGCTGTTTTCCTCTCAGTGAAATACATGTGCATATACATACAGTATTATCAGACTAGCCATCAAGTAACATGAATTCTGCATCATGTTTTTAATTCCTGCACCACATTCTCATTTGTATTCTTTAGCCGTCTTCGCCTGTTAATTAGGCTATTTCTAATGGCACCGTGTGGTATGATTTGAAACCTGAATACCGGTCTCAACGACTTAGTTTCCAGTTAATACTATTGATTTACATCTCACCTTTTTTCGAAATGACCTAATCTAATATATGTAACTCCAATCCATCACTTGCTAACTAATGTTAATGAATTGGATTTGTGTTCGAAAGACCATATTGTCATAGCCTCGTAATTTTAACACTCCAAAAGATTCGTCTCCCTACGCCTACCACACGTTGGAGCTGGAACCAGAACTATTTAGAGCTAATATTTCCTTCTTATCAACAAATTTAACTGCAGCAGTCGGTGACCACACGGCAACTCTCGCTATGGGTCTGGATATCTTTCATCGAAACATGAATAATGTCTTCACATGCTGCCTTCTATTCGTACTCTGATTCTAAAACTGAAGTTCTGGTTGGGCCTGAGTTCTCTCAACCAATTGTATAGCAACGATCATCGGTATATATGGATAGATATCAATGATAGGAGGAGTAAACTTTTCTCCCGTAATTAACGTGAACACATGCAAGGCAAACAGCCCTCCTTAGCTTTCTGGTTCATTAATAATAGTATATTCTCATTTTTCGTACATGGCCGACGCCAGTTTACATGCATCATAAATGTGATAAATTACATATACGATTATTAAGCATATATAATAATATAATGAAATACATATGTATTCCTATCTATGTGGGACACACTAAGTTTACAAGCATGGATAAGTATTATTTAAATTACATAAATCTGGTTTATGATGAAATTACATGGTTGCTGTCTTTTTTGTTTTTGGTTTGTGGGGACAATGTGATAACTAGTCATTCAATGGAGCACATCAAGAGATGTGGAAATATTGTCATTCCATTATCAAAAGACCCAAGTATGTGTTGGATTGATTACAAACGCTTGGGAACAAACAAAGCTTGAAGTCATTCCCCCATATAACTTTGGTGTGCACGGATTCGAGTCTTATTCTTGATTTTTATCCAAATTTGGTAATAATTTAAAATAAGTGATACACTTGCATAATTTTGTCAGCATTTTCATAATAACATCACAAGTGAATTGTACTGAATGTAGACTAATAATAATATTTTATATTTTCTTATAAGAGGGTGTTTGCAAGGAATGCAAGCTATTTTCACAGGCATGATCAGTTAAGTTATAAATTACAATCGTGAAGTATTATAAATAATTACTTTTTCACTGGTATAAAGGTATATTCCACAACTGTCATCTAGGTTACTTCGTGGGGAAAGGTAATGGGTAATTCAGGAGGGAATTTTAAGACATGGGACCAATAACGTTTGCAGACCATTTGTCATTGTAAGTGGGAAAAATGTACAGTCTTTATTGTCATTCGACGATTCATGTGGAAGCCAAAATGGTGTGGGAAAAAAGAAGACAAACGATAGCAGCACAGAAGAAAGAAAGTGAAGTCCTCAAAAAGTCATTGATAAATTTATATATATGTATATTCTGTGTAGTAACTATGATTATTTTGGTACACTAACTTACTAGTCCTGTTATGCTAACTTTTACATTATGTGTGAACTAATATTAATGTCATGTGTGGAAATGTATATCATGTAATTCAAATAATATTAACATTTGCAAGTGTAATTTAACGAACTTAAAATATCTATGTATGGTGAAAAGAGGGTGTAGGAGTCAGGCACAGGAGTGCATTGTCACCTTTGAGTAGTCTGGTGACTGAGAACACGAACACTGAAAATGTGTTTGCATCATGCATATTAGCTGGTAGTCTATTCCAAATGACTGAAAACTTATTTAAGAAGTTGTGCCACATATGAGTCTGACAATGCTCTGTAGAAGTTAGGTTGTCATGATTTCTAAGATTGTAACTGATAACAGCAGTAGATTTAATTATTGGCCTATAGGAGTGCAAGAGAAGATTAGTTAGCTTGTAGTAAAAAATAAGGCTAGGCTTAAGACGTCTTTTCCAGAGTGGTTCTAATCCTAGTCTGTCGCAACGCTCAGAGTACTCGAGACTACATTCTAAACCAAAAGTTCTTGAGGTAAATCACCGTTGCACTCCCTCTAACTTAAGCTGGTCATTCTGTCATAGTCCGCTAAGAACAAATGGGCTGTATTCTAAAATAGGTTGCAAACATACTTTATGCACTAAAACCCTAGTTTTGCAGAAAAGAAATTGCGAGCTATGCATCTTAGGAATCTTCGTGTTTTACATCTAGCACAATCATTTTGTTCAGAGAAGGTTAAGTTACTAGAGCATCTGATATCAAGATCCACGACTGAGTTGAACTTGGCTAGTTTTCGCCCATTTACTTTAAGAGTTAGTTCAAGGCTCCTGTTGCCGATTCAAATCCAGCCGCATTTGTCAATGTTAAACTTTAGACAGGATTCAGCACACCATGTTGTGAGACCACTTAGTTCAAGATGTATTTTATTAACCATATTGCTTAATTCATGAGTGTAGCAGTATTGAACGACTTTGAGGTTGTCAGCATAAAGAAATGGCTTAACCAATGTGAAGCAGTTATAAATGCTGTTAGTGTGGACTGTAAATAGAAGTGGGCCAAGGACACAACCTTGCTTAACCCCACTTGTGATCTGCCAAGGATGAGACAATTCAGATCCGACTGTGGTTATTTGTACCCTGTTGCTTAGAAATGTTTTTAACCAGTTAAGTAATGGATTGCGAATTTCACATGACTACAGCTTCCCAATACTGTGAGATACCATTCCAAATGCCCTAGATATATCGAAGCAGAGAACAACGACTAGCTTACGTGCTTCGTGACTACTAGTGATGCAGTTGAAAAAATCGAAGCGACCAGTAACGCAGAACCTATTTTTGAGAAACCCGTGTTGAGACCTTGTAACAAGATCTTCCCTAAGTAGATGATCTAATAATTGACCTTTGACAACCTTTTCCATGATTCGCGGGATAACTGGGGTTATATTTATGGAGCCCTAATTGCGAAAGTTTGCCTTATCACCAGATTTGTAGCGTGGAATTATTCAGTTAGTTTTCCACTCATTAGGGCAAGTGCCAGTGTCCACAGATATTGAGGAGAATTTAAGAAGTAAGAGGGGAATATCACACCCAATTTTTTGAAAATTATTGAAGCAAGGCCATCTAGTCTCGTGCTAGTAGAAGGTCTAAGGCGTTTAACTGTTGTTGTCGGTTGGTGAACACTACGCTCCTGAGGGGGGAGGTAGTAAGGGGTGTGGTTTCACTAGGGGCGTAATAGCTCCTGCTAAAAAATTTATTACGACAGCGAAAGTGGACTTAGCATTGACGACAACATAATTTGAAAGCAAATGTCTCTTCTAAGCGTACTACTCGACATAACCCACGACCCTAAACTTGCAAGCCCTGTAGCTCACAAAATTGGCAGAAGCTGATATTTAGTATCACCAAGTAGAACACCCATGAGAAGAACATGGATACGTTTACCGATGATTTAACACAGAAGTTATAATCAATGATGTTGGATACCACTTCGTCGAAATTAATAGGTAGCTAAAGAAAACAAGAGTTCACAGTGTGTACACAAAGACATTACCATCATAAACCTTCCTCACGCTAAGAAAATACCCACAAGCAGTAGGAATCCATTAATTAATGCGTCTGAAGCTTATGCATTTACTCCCAACAATGACATTGCAGATCAAATGAGATAAACATATCACTGATTTCAAAATAAAACATCAACGAACTATAATTCGAGGACTCTGCACACAACAAAGTTATGTATGAAAATTGACTTCAAGCTTTATTCTTTTTCCAAGGCTCTTATAATCCATCCACCAAAGACCTGGTTTTTTTGTTAAAGCGAAGACAATACTTCTGTATTTCCTGATGTGTTGCACTCACTGACGATCTAGCAGATTTTTCCAACTGTGCACAGAAATGATTGCATATAAGTGAAAAGGCTGTTTTATACTACTGGGATTAACATTTATCAAGTGTATGTATAATCTCCAGCGAACATGTAAAGCATATCTTGCTACTGCCTGTAAATTTTGATTGAATTATATGGTTCTATTTCCGTAACAATTCGATGATGCCTGTAAACTGGCGTCCCTCATGTACTATGAGAATAAATTTATTTATTTATTTAATTCACGAATTAACGTGGCAAGATGTAGTACGAGATTTTCATATCACTGTGTGATTACACAAGTCAATATTTCAACACAGTCGGATATGAGAGCTGTTTCAAACTCTATCTCCATAACTTCCAAAAACGGCTCAACACTTAGTCTAAATGATTGCAAGATAATTTTGCGAATTATCGTTTCACAACCGCACATAATTAAGTCTTAGGATAGCATCAAAGCGCGAGAGTTCATGAGGGCAAAAACAGTAGCAAAACATCAAAACGACGTGCTCATCAGATGCCTTTAAGTACCTGCTCTCAAGGATGTTTCAGTAATTCAAATGCAACAAAGTATTCATAAAAGCTTGAGTGTGCATTCACATCAGTAAAGGAAATAGCAAAAATTAAAAGTTTTCGTGAAACATTACCTAATTTTTGCCCAGATTTGAACACTGATTTTTCCCCGTATTTGTGGATACCATTGACTTTTGGCCACCAAAGCACTACACAAAAGTTCAGAAGCACGTATATGTAGCGATGGATTATTATTCGAAACTATTAGCCTAAAGCATTCATCACTCACAACTGGATGCTGAACTTCACTGTTCAATTCGGCTTGTTTAGCTGCCTCACGCCCAAGCATCCACGCCATCGTGTTGCGTTCAGCTGTTTGTGCACTATCTCTGGCTACTTTAGCAATCACACTCGCATTACTATTTAGGTCCCAAAATATACCCCATATTTTGGACGATCAGTTTGGTGTTTTCATTTGCCTATTGTCTACGCGAAATGAATACTGGAGGAGTTGTGGGTATAAGATCTTGCTTCAGTATACGTCGTGCTACCTGTGAACGTCAACACACAGCCACTCAAATTTGATGGCTACTGAATATTTAGGTCCTTGCAACAGAAGTAGTTGATGCACATCCGCAGATCGAAAAATATACGTTCAAGTACAGGATGCCATGAAAATGCAGAGAAATGGTCTGAAAGCCAGTTACAGAAATGTATAAAAAGCATACTAGTTATGCCAAGTATTTATTGCATGAAACACAATTTCAAGCGTCCTGCTACACAAGAAACGCATCCATGCTTGGGAACGGTATCGAACAAAGAATCTAATATAAATTCACCCGACAAAAGCAAAATAAATGTCAAAATCTCGTCAGCTGTATCTGTTCGAACAAAACAAATCAAACTTAACCATGCAGACGCGCACCAGATAAAGCAGGTGATGCCACTTCAAAAGAGTATATGCTATTTGGTAGCGCTAAAGAAGACATGTCTGTGAGAGGTTTTGATAGTGGACTGTTAGACGCAGTCAGGACCACTGCAACTATTAACGACGACTTACGCTTGTGACCGGATGGAAAGTAACCAAAGCAGAGTTTCTTCTTGGTAAATGACAGCCTGATAATCATGAATGTATAGGCCCAGTTATTCATTAGTAGCAACAGTCATGCTTAAGCCATGTCTGAATTAGTTATTAGTGGATAGTTAACTAGGGAAAGCTCTGTTACGTTAAGATCAACTCTGCACAGATGAGAGAAGTTTTAACAGTAGATGACACCTGACTGTAATCAAAAGATTTCGGGAAAAGTAGTTATATGTTTTATCCCTCTGATATCAGTTACATGCAAATGGAAGACTCAGTGGCTAAAGGTGCTGAAGACCAGTGACGCTTCCGCCACTGATATTAAGATTGATGCCAAGGTTGTCAGAAAATCATTTGGAGTAGTGGCACCTTTTCACCTTGGAGAATCAAGTTATCGTTAGCTGGATGACGTTTAACGTGAATTAGTGTCAGGCCATGTTTTCTTGCACACTAGTGACACGTAATATCCTACATAGAATCATCCTAATCAGTATGACAATAAACCGCTGAAGAGCTAAGACGATAAGAGTATGAAGAAGACTGGGCTTATGTGACCACAGCTACTGTAGAATGATGGATGACTTGATAACATCTTATGAAACAGTGACTGACATGAAAGATATAAATAGACATATAAAACCGGAATTGTACAACGCAGTTCTCTGAGAAATGGGGCCCACTAGGTGGCATTTACACACATACAATCTATTTTCGTTTCCAGTCCATAACAGGCATTTTTCACGGGCTTATGCAAACACAAATGTCATCTGAAAGCTTCAAGAGAAAGCTATTTGAGTACTTGAAACCAAGTTGTTTGAGAAAGTACTTTGGAGATGCACCTGAGCGCCGGAGCAGTTTATATGAATATCATATATACTCTCTCAATAAACACCTTTAACCGTTCATTTATCGCACTGTTATTTTAGATGAACTTCATAATATCTTCCCTTTATTATCAGGCCCGGCAACAATCCATTGTACTCCACTATGTTCTTGTTTCGTCCATTTTTTTCTGTTTTCGTCTTCTGTTCTCACTTCTCCTTTGTTTTGGAATGATGTAGGGTATCATCTGGATAAACGACAATAGTATTTGATATTAGCGAAATCATCTTGAAACTAGTCAAGATGAAGAAATTTAGCCGAATACTTTCAAGAGAACTATATTATTATAGCCATACATCCATATCATGACCAAGCGGAGATCTGAAGCCTGTCCGGAGCATCAATTAGGAAGCAACAAGAAACCAGTAGGTCTGCCATAGCTCGTTCCAACTTTATTGGAAACTGGATGTGTATCAGGTTCTTACACAAGGATGCAACATTTGGGAAGTAACAGACCTGGTATGCTGAATATCAGCCGTCTAATGAGAGGTTTGTGGGATACATTCTAACTTGCAGTACGTGCAAGAGGAAATATTCACTGCGGATTCGCGCGTCGATATGATGCCATGAGCATACGCTACAAGTGGTAATAGTATAACTATGATGAAGCCGAAAGTGGTACTCATTATTCCAAGATGATACTCCAGTCGTCAAACATATCGCAAGGGAACCGTCAGAAGCACGAGGGAATGGATTAATGTTACTATAATCGAGGAGGAAGAATGGCAGCGTAATATGATCCGGTGGACAGTCCTACAATATCTTAGATTTAATGCTTTGTAATTTTAGGTTCAATGTATAACGTCATTCAGCAATTGTCTAGGACATTCGCATGAAAGGATATGAGTGGACATCAACAATTAGGTATGATTACACTAACTCGCAACAAAAATATTGGACATTCTACATTCACATTGCTAACAATATATGGCATGCCGTTACTGTATAAAGATACACAAGATTAGAAAGGAAGCTCAATTAGAAAAGTAATCAAAACGAATACAAACGACATCTCGACTCACTGCACAGTGTTTTCAAAGTATGGTCAGCCGAGGGATTTGTTATAACTTGCCAATAAAAAAGAAATATTAGCGTCCTTGTTTCGAAATCACTTTAAATCTATTTCTTTTCTGGTCTTCAAGAATAGGGATGCCTTACCAGTTTTTTCTATTCTTTTTAGTTATTTAAACACAGAATATGAGATTTCATAGAGTATTTTTATGCAGTAGTATGCATTTTACTTGAACCAAAAGTTGTGGGGTACTTTCCGGGGGAATTACTGACATTTTGATGCATTTTCCTTATGCTATCCCGAAGTATGTTACACAAACCTTCCCACTGATTGCCACATTTTTTGTTCAGACACCGCCTTATCGATTGATAGGAAAAAATAAACGCAACTGCTTTAGAACTTCAAAGTCGACTGACCTATGTAAATAGCAGTACCAAGGTAGTTGAAGGTTTTAGTACCTTCTCTAGCATTCATCCAACTCATTATCAGAAGCATTCGTTACTGACGGGTAATTGTCTATTTCTGTCTCGTGGGAAAGTTTGAGGCAAGCAGCACTCAACTTTTGTAGCCATAGATTCTGCTAACAAAACCACAGACATACAGAAAAACATCTTTGATTGAATATTTGCGCAAGAACATGTACTTAATTGAAATGGTATTTGAAAATTGAATTAAATTATGGATGTGAGGATAAAATAACATCTATCACGTAGAGTTTATGAGACAGTGAGAATACGTATTTGAATAAGTGGACAGAAGGGTCTTGTTCGGTTTGATAATTTAGGACAAAAGTCTATCTGTGCTAAGGCGTTTTGATAAGAGTTTTCGTGATTTGTAAGATGAAAAAAGCATTAAAATATGGAGCTCATATTGTATGTAATTCACTGGATCCTGATGTCAGATTTGGAAGTCTCTAGTAATTGTGGACAAAAAGCCATACTGGCATATTTTAGACTTGAATTGCTGATACATCCTTGAAAAAAGGAAACCTAACACAAACACAGTCGTCCCGTTATTCTTAGAACTTCGTGTGTAGTGACCACCGGTCACTAGGTTGAAAAACTAATTTAATCCAAGTTCAGGTTAATCAGGCGATTGTTCCGACTCAATTTTTTATGGAAGATTTTCTTAATATATTTATGTATAAACTTCGGTAGCCACGATGATCAATGAATAATATTTGTAAAAGAAAAACTGCAAGTATTCGGAACACCAGTACAGCGCAAGTGGTTCATGAGCGAAGTGAAATTCTAAATCGTAAAAGAATAAAATCATTTTCTGAAAATACAATGTATGTGTTCAAAGAAGGTTTTAAATTTGTGATAAATTCAGTGTGGTAGCAATAAAATTTGGTCAGTGTATATATTTAATTAACCTTTGTGAAAAAAGTACTTCATAAAATAAACACCTATTATGGAACACTGTTAATTGATTCTCATGTGGCAAGTACAGAGGATCAATTGTACCATAAAAGTATTTTGGATAAAAATAACTCCTTAATAAATATACGTTTCTAAATTATCTAGAGTTTTGAAATGGTTTGATTTCTTGATATGGTGTCCAAAATACCATCTATGTATTCATTTTTCGTCTAAAAAATTTGGAAGTTTTGACCTCATATAGCTATATAGCTGTAGAAAATGAACACTTCCTAAGAGGTTCTGATAAATTCATCATTTGTTAGACAGCTTTATAGTATACGTAAGTTAACTTTCGATTTTTTTTTCCAACACAATTGTGTCTCTTTTCTTTCTCCCTTCCCGTACATCAATGGGAAATATGTAAGTTAAAGTAAATGCATATTACATGATAATCTGTATTATTTTCGGTATCAGTCTCCCTGAATTTAGCAGCAGCATTTCTTTTCGTACTCTACCAAGAGTTTGGAAGTTTTGTAATTTTTCTGAGACACGCGCAATGTATATATTTGTAAAAATCCAGGAAATGTTGGTGAGATGATTCTTTAAATTACTTAATTTGCACCTGCACCGCTAATACGTTTGTAAATAATTCTCACTTTATTTAAGTGTTAGGTTTGCCAGCACTTTATCTTGTAGGCCTTCAGTGCCCATTTGTCATACAGTTTCCACTTCTATAGACAAATTATTTTACTGATTTTTCGTGTTATGATTATGAATTCATTTCTTCTTCTTCCAGGCTAATGGCTGGATATCCTACTGGCCTTTTTCTTGACTAACCTACGTTCGCCTTAAATTTTCATGTACAAAGATTCAGAATGTAACTGCGAACAAACTACCTATTTTCTATTTAAAAATAGCATAACCCTGTATATCTGTTGTTAGCTAACTCAAAAATAAGGTTTTGGAAATCATTATTCACTCTAATTTAGTATTGAAGACTAAAATACTTCAATGCTGGTTTGGAAATTGATATAAGTATAAAACTTGGGCAGTGTGGTAGAGTATAACTCCATTATGGATAAGATTTTATTTTGATAAATCACACAGTGTTGTACAGTTATATTAACTGATGACGTCATCAGTGTGATTTATCAAAATAAAATCTTATCCATAGTGGACTGATTCAGAAAGTTTCTCATATGATAAAAATTAGTATATAATGTAATGCTTTGTATTTCGAAGACTACTATATTTCTGGTTAAAAGCCTGTATTCATTTGCACACTTTGTCCGCTTAATCTAATTATAGACAAACGTTCATGTAGCTGCAGTGAACAGAGTATTGGCCATATTATCTTTCTTGTTAAATTTTCTTGGGAAATCGCTTCTACAAAAGTGAGAACTATGGCTAATTTGTTTTTACCTGTAGGTAATGTACAGTCATTTCCAAAACATATTTTGAAGGTGCATTCGTGACATGCCAAAAAAGAAGAAAGTCAAATCCAGTAAAAAGGGTGGCAAAAGACTGAAAATTTCAGGAAAGAAGAAAGTATAATCTTAATTAATCGTCTATAATTTTTGTTAAAGACAACTTTAGAAGTAAAAATTGAAAAATTTCGTGCGGATGAAGAGAAATACATTGATTTTTTAAAGCGCTCAAACTACTGGATAATAGAAAATATAGGACAGCTAAAGAGTCTTCTTCACCAAACAGTTCACTACTCAGATACTAATTTCACTTACGATGATTTTAAAGCTGGTTTGCATTCCGGTTTATTGTTAACCATCATATCACTTAAATAGCTGTATTGTCACTAAACTGTCCATTCACCAAGCTCGAAGTCGATGTTATTACAAGATTACTGGATCAAGACAAAAACGGCTTTATTGAATACGAAGATCTATCTACCAGTTTAACAAATTTGAGGTAATTTATGACCCAATCAGTTGTTAACTGTTTTATGCAACTTTTTCAGTGCATTTGGTTAATTTTGAATACCTTGAAATTTCCCAATGGCCACGGAAAAAATTTTAAATTCTTTTCATTTGTACAAGAATTTACCTGTCGATTCACATCTGTAGTCGCCAACTGTTTAATTAATTTGCTTTGTTTCTAAATCTGCATTAGTCTGTGGATTTTTATTTTTTGAAATTTTGAGGTACAGTTACAGCTGTAATTGGTTTGGACGCTTCAGTGATACGATAGGCTAACAGGAAATCGGGCCTGGTTTAGTATTCTATTCGAAACCTGACAAATTTTTCTGCTTCATTTAGTTTTCTTTAAGACTGAATTAAATTTAACAAAACAAACGATCGTAAGCGTTAACTATTTACCACCAGCAGTACTTTTTATGTCATGCTGTAAAATCAGTTGAAAAATAAAAACAGTTAAGAATTCTGGAACGTCAAAATGAGTAATCAGTTAATAATATCTGGGGTTACCAATATGGGCCATACAAAAACAGGTTAGTATCTTGAATGAATGACTTTGGCAGAGAGAAAGAATCAACAATTGTAGACATGTGGTGACAGGCCTCAAAAATGTTGAAATATATGTATTAACTACTTATCATTTTCAAGTTTATAAGCATCTTAACTAATATTCATGTAGTTTTCCTTTTTCATATCGTACTTTCACTCTGTATGTTTCCTCTTCTGTTTTATACGTTATTTTGAAGTGTGGTACCTCAAAATGATAAGCTTTCATCCAATTTTCAAATTATTGAAAGTTAACACTGTTAAATTGAATTAACTCTAGTGGCTAGAAATTCTGTTTTTCGTGCAGCTGGCTATATGTTCAGATGGGAAAATACCTCTTTACCCACTGATTTTGTTTGTCGACGAAAACAGTTCCTCACAAAAGTACATCCACATGGATGTCACACTGGATCAACCTGAATTGTACGGAAGACTAAAATCCAACTGATTATCACATGACGACCACCATAGGTTGTGTAAGAAAGTACCAACTGTCACACTGCATTTCTTCAGATATATACCTATAATCGTTTCGGATTGTCAGTGACATAAACAAAAGTTTGTCACAACAAAACACATTAATTCAATCATTTTAAACTGACAGAAAGTTTCGGATATTTTCACTAATTTTCTCCTAATCACTATGTGTATTCTAAGTTACTTTTATCATACAATGCTTTTGTTTTAAGCACGCCATCTTAATGCACTTTTGGCGTCTTAAAAGAAAACTTTAAATATAATAGTATTAGCACTACCACTACCATGTGGTCATTTGTCCCTCTTCGTAATGTTTTGCAAGTGATAATCCCAGGCATTTTGCAAGAAATAAATTAAAGTTTACATACGTTGTATGTATCTGATCACAACTCATATCATTATTTGTAAAGCATTTCTAGTGAAGCATTTTTCACAGTTAATTAACCAAGAATTTAATCAACTATGCATATTTTTTGTTTTGTTTTGTGATAAGTATCTTTTTAAACTATGTGCATACAAATTGCATTAATGCCTTTGTTTATGTCTTTTACTTTGTGTATTGGTTGCTATGGCTAAAGTTATGTGAACCAAGCGATAAGTTAGTGTCCCATCTATACAGTCACTGCTATAATAAGAATAATGTAATTCTGTTTCCAGAAAAATCTTACTCTGTAGTTAACTTGAATAAATCAAACATTTGACAAAAGTACTTAATATTGAACTAAGGCAGTCAGAACCGAATTTGTAAAGCAAATTGTGTTAACTCAATCTACTGAAGTTCAGAAATCGTTTATGAAACAGGTAGTTAGAAAACGACTAGGTAAGCCACCTGTCAAATAAAAAATACAACCTGCACATAATGAATCATAATTAAGTCACTTTTGAGAAGAAGCGTCACTTGAATTAGTTTACTAATATCGGTATCAGTGTTGATCAGATAAATGTATTATATTTCAGTGTTGGTTTGCAGGGATTCGATTGGTTGCGGAATTTCATCAACTGACATCAGTTATAGAACTAGTGTAAAAGTGGGGAGTACTGGACAGGCGTTTCGTCCTAATTTGGGATTCTTCAGTAATATACATAGTCTTTAGGTTAACTTGTTTCATTTGGAATTTGATCTTTCAAGAGATCCTGAGATTATTGCTTGCTAAGCATTATTATGAAACCGAACATGCAATGAACATGCAGCCAAACGTCTTGACAAAATATTCACGATTCAATACCAGAGATCGAGAAACATCAAACAGTTTGCCTACCTGTCGATACATGGCATTTAAAATGTTATTGTTGTAAATAATAATATCAAAACTCGTACAACTAAAAGTGCCACTACAGTTATCCTCACAGCAATAACAACTACTATTACTGTCAATGAGATAGTCAGTATTTCTACGCTTAATATCACGTCTGCTACCACCAGAAACATTTTCGAAGGTGACATCAAAGAGATCATGTTGGAAGGGAATGAAAGCTCATGGGCATTAGTGGTGCTAGTTGAAAATGAAATTAGAGGACAGAGTATAATGAAGATGTGCTGCCTGATCTCTAAGTTCCACTCGGAACACAAGGAATTAATAAATAATAACAGTATCAGTTAAATGAATTTATCTACTATTGAACTAAGATTTACTGAAGCGATGGGCATTTTCAGCAATAATTGTTAGTTAGTCTCCTGATGCATTTATTTACACCAAATGTCTAATTCTGCACCTAACTTCAGGTTTGTGTTGCATCTATGTCTTTTTTCAAATATTCTTGTACGCAAGCATCGTTGGCTAGACATTTTTCAGGGGGTATCTCGATTCAGTACAATACATTTATATCAATACAATACAGAATAAAGTTCATCATTAGCTTGATGCGTTTATACAATCTAATACCGTGAATTTCTAAGCGTGTCCACTGAAACAGATGCAGTTTCATTAATGGTTCTGCGTAGATCCGTTAGTCTTTTTATATGTGTAATACAGAATTGAAAATTATTTTAGGCTGCTTTGTACTTATTTATTGATTTATTTTAATTGCTTCATTATTGAACTTTCATATAAGTTCGAAAAAGTGAACTTTCACACCATGGGGTTATTTACTTATTGTTCATTTATTTGAATAAGCTGACTATTTTACAAAAATTCTAATCCAAAATAATAGGGTTTGTTGCTTTCTTTATTGATTTTCTTTTTGTCTTAGCCTTAAAGATGGGACCTTGAGAGCATTGGAAATTGAAAAAATACAGAAATCTGAAAGAGGGTTCGTATATATTACACGATTAAATTTTGTAATTGAAATTTATTTTAGGAGGTAGACCGTTACTGGTTACTGGATTACTGGTTTTTGATTATTTCATTCATATATAGAGCTTCATTTTATTCTTGTGCTTTATACCTTTGCAAAATATTTCTGTTATCCACATAGAGTTTACTGGGGATTGACTCTTTTCAAAGTAATTATTCTATCCAACCTAGGCCACTTAGAGAACTAGTGGAGAACAAACAAAATAGAATATTTATTTTTTTCTTACTGTAAAACTCTTAAGAAGTGTGTATTAGATTGCTATTCAGAGATTAAATTACTGAATGGCTGAGTATTTGTTCTGAGAAGAATATATTCGAGGTTTTCTTCCGCATTAATTCGGAAAGGCGTTTTACCCAAACTGGGACGAATTAGCTATCCAGTCCGCTTCAGTTCTAATTTTTTCATCAGCGGAGTTAGTCTAGTAGTAGCACTACTTAAATTTAAGATTGGAAAAGTGGAGTTTTAGAATTGTCTTGAATATGTTCAACTATATTTTTGGAAAGATTATCATTGGGGAACGGTATGATTAATGCTCATTTTAATGCCCTATAATCTGTCTCTGTCTTCCCTCAGTCTATGTAAAGACAGAATTCATAGGTCCCTAGATTCCAAATCAGTGACTGGATTGTAAAGTGAACCAAAGATCCAAGTTAGATCGCTGGTAGAGCCGTAGGTAAGAACCTGGTGAATCTGAAACCGGTTTTATGAATACAAATTCCTATTAGGATTCTATAGGTACTTATTTACATCTGCGAAATTTTCAGAATTATGTAATTTTAGTCCCGTAATTAAAAAGGGTTTCTTAATCTAAAGATTAGATACTTAGCGGCTGATAAAATATATAACTTGCCATAAGGAAAAAGTTTCTTATGAATGCATAAACTATGATTTAATGTAAGATGCGAAAACAAGATGCTTTAATGCTTTTACCTTATCGAAGTAGAACAAGCGAAGAAATATTTCCCTTCAGCGACTTAACTTTTAAGCTATGCAGGCATATTTATATTAAGTACGAAGACAGTTAAAAATCCACTCAGTCGACGAAAATTTGGTAAAAGTTAATTAACGTGATTCTTAAGGATAAAGATGGTTTAAAGGGATAAAATATAGAAAAGCTTCTTAAGGGAAGTAAATGACACTTAATGGTATAAAGTAAAATTAAGATAACTATATAGGAAACAAATTCATGCAGAATAAAATTAATTAGACAGAACATTATCGGGCTTAAGACAAAGGAATGGGTATTACGAAAAATTCTTGAATACAGAATTCAGGTTATTTTTCGTGTATATATCTAGGGCTTCAGACACACACGAATCATGAGAACTCAGGGATTAAGAGTGACTGAATTTAACCCCGTAGACAACTTTAAAATATAAATCCTGTTCAGTTAAACGACCTGAATAGAGTTGTCTGCAAACAGATTGTTTCGTTATCTTATGTCAGTTAATTTTTACAATATAAGCATTGACTAGGAATTACTTTAATGCCACTTACAACCTTTTTACTTGATGTAAATGAAACTGTACAGCATGAAAATAAAATTGCTGAATAGAAATACCTCTTTGCTAAAAGAGTCTTTTTTCCTTATTAATAAGTATATATATATATATATCGCATCATGTGATGAATTTCTGGAATAAATCGACTTGTCCTTTAGTATAGTAATACAACATTTAATAATTCCCACTGTAACAATAAGAAGACAATATTTGGTGAAGAGACTTCTTATGTAATTTATTGTCAGGCTGTACAATATATGTGCATATATCACTACTGGCTAAATTACCTCACGGAACATAGTTTCTTAAAAATCATGTGTGCATGACTGTACGGCTCGATGATAACACATTAATTGAGAAGAATCTCTTCGCTGAATATTGTGTTCTTAATAATATAGCATTGTCCTATGCAAAATTTAAATTGGTAACAGATAGTGACATTATTAACCAGACCACTTTATTAAATTTTTTTACAAAGGGTACTTAATCATCACTTAATTATTTTTAATCCTTTTTGTGCTAATCCAAATATATATTAACAGATGGATTATCTGCAAATTTCACTGTTTGAACTGTATAAATATACGTGATAGCCCACTACACTTTGAACGATTAGTACCGCTGAACACTTTTACTGAAGGTTTGATAAGCATTATTCGGTAAGTAATAAAAATAAGTGAAAACCAACCTTTTCTTTTTTTCAAATAAAATGATATTTATGTGAATATACTTAAGACAAATTTAGGTGACTGCATGAGATAACTAAACAATCTGCAGAGTTCACTAACGTTATCCTGTATTAAAGTTTGGAAACGGATTGATATTAGTTAGAGAACTATTGAAATCCAGGGAGTACTGGGATGCTGTTACTTCCTAGTGTGGGAATCATCATCAGTACTCAGTCACCGGAGTTCAAACACAAGACCTTCAAGTCACAATGCAAACTGTTAGACCATTCAGCTGCTGAGATCCGACTCAATGGCCCATGAATTCTAACTTACTTTGTAAACGGAAGGTCTTGGGCTCGGACTCCGGTGACTACGTACTGATGGTAGGTCTCAAACTAGAACGAAATAGCTGTCCACTACTCCCCGGTTTTCAGTGGTTCTATAACTAAGATCAGTCCAGGGTAAAACTTAAGACAAATCAAATCTCTACAAACTAACTGTTGAAAATTATCCTGTATTGTCATGAGCTTTTGTAAAAAAAGCGTTTGACACGAATAATAAACAATTCACTCGTCTAGCTTTGTGTTCAGTTTTATGGGAGTTTAAATTATACTATGAAATAGAATATTCCAAGAAGGATACATCAAGAAGAACATAAACCGTAAATTGCCAAGAAACTTTATGAATAGTGCTTATTTCGTGCCTACAGTTAGTCTGTTTATGAGATTAATTCACGGCTTTAATCGGCAATGTATTCTAAAGTTGGATATTTGAACAACAAAACCACTCTCATGTGTTGTTGCAGCTGAAATAAACAAAAGTACTAGTGAAGCATGAAATGTGGCAAACAGTAAAAGGTAATGCTTGTAAATAGTAATCTATTCTTTAGTGTATGTTGCAACAACTTTCAATGAATACTCGATCCATTCAACTGGTGAAAAATTGCTCCTACAAAATTTCGGTTCAGCAGAATATCTAACCAAGTGATTTTCACAGTCATATGGATCGCTGACTTAACTGTTTCCAAAACCATAAGTTCTGGTTAGATTCTTGAAAAGTCTCTTTGTTGACGTTTCCTTTATGGCAGAAACACGATAATGGGGTTCATAGAAGTTTCCTAATCATCATTTCTCTAAATATATACTAACACGTATTTGAGTCATGTCTGGCACTATCATCCATACCACAATACGTACTATGTTTCACTAAATTAGAATACTAAATCAAACTAGGAAAAACTGCGTCTTGACCTTATCTTTTTATATGGATTACAAGACAGATGCATTCAAACACAAGTTCTGTTATTAACTAGTAAACTTTTCTCTAAATAACACTCAAAATATATGATAGACTAAAAAACAAGACTGGATAGTTTACTCTTCATTGATAGCTTCGTAGGTAGTCATTATAAACAATGCAAAGACAGGTTTGAAAGGTGACTTCTATCCTTAAAATAGTTGTCCTAACACCGATGATCTTTACTGCACTATCTGAGGTATGATCTTGATTCCCACGTTCAAACTTACGTACATTACAGATGCATACAAATGAGGCTTATTTCGGAATTAGGGTAAGTAACGATACTGTCTTAGTTTATGTCTTTTTTATGATAGATACCTAAGGTCAAAATTTCAAATTTTTCTCCTGAATTCTTGCTATAATAAGGCTTCTTTGGTGATTGTGTTACTGTATATCCACATTTCTAATAAGTTGCTGAAGTATTTTAATATTACTCTATGTGGTGAATTTTCTTCCCACTAATATCTTCTCAAGTCATAAAGAGACAAATCAATAGTATTTTCTAAATGTGGTGGAATCTCTTGTTTAGTTCGAAAATATGGACATTTGGAAGTCTTTTTGAAAATTCTGACGAAAAAGAAGTCAGCAGGAATCTCAAAGTCATGTTTTTAGAGTAGATTCTTAATTTGTTTTCATAAAAACATTTCTGACCATTTTTATATTAATTTAATCCCAGTCAGCTAGGACTTCCATTGATTTCTCTCGTCCACTGAGTTCCGCAGTCATTCTGACCAGCAGTTCCAAGATTATTTTTTAAAATTCTTTACAAGACTTTTCTGGATTGTGGCTGAATAATGAGCTAAGGAAGAGTTGCTTAAGATGATTCCTCCTGTTGGTTGAAGTGTTCTGCCCATACTTGAATTGTCTGTTGACTAATATTACCAATCGTCTGTTTCATTTTATTGGGAGTCATAATTATCCCCATTTTATAGTCCGTCGGTTTAATGCCTGTATATTTACTGATTGCAGTCTGTTGCCTATTTACAAAATAACTCTAATGTTTTTACTCTCAATGAAATGGTCACCTAAGACTCGAATGGAATATATCTTAGCATATTAATATGCTTGAAGGAAACTTCACATATCAAATAAATTTTAATACCTTCAATTTAACATTTACTAGGTGGAATGAAGATAATTGGATACAAGAGTATCTGATTAATGGTCACATTATTAAGCTAGGCGATATAGCACTGAGCGGATGAGATGAAAACTATCGGCTGAATTCATAATTGTAATATATGGATAAATTGGTGGGGAAATAATTTTGGTGCTCTTCTTCATTAGCATAAACAGGATTGCATCCTATAGTGCAATGATGACATTTCTGCATGAATAATGCACTAAATTCAAGATTGAATTTGTAACGACGTTTATTGATGAATGTAACAACTACGTCAATTTGCAAGTCTTTTCTCATGTTTGCAAATGACTCATTTTGTATAATGAGTAAAAGGCACCAATATAGCTAGTTAGCTATCCACTCGAAGTCGTTATGTGACACATATTGTATATCAGCATATAACCATATAAATAAACGATTTTCTAATGTACGAAAGCGAGCGAAAATAAAAATAAACACCACTGTTACTTTCCATACTTTTAAAGAATATAATTACTGCGTTATGCAAATGAAAAGTGTTTTCCGAGTTTCCACTGATGATATCTTCTTGTCTCTACATTTATCTTTTCTAGCCAAGAAACATTACTGTGGTTGCCAAGAATATCAATCTTTGTAAGTGCCAATGAAGAACCTGATAGTGAACTGCAACCAGAATCCATGTTGACTGACTATGATATCAAAAGTGGCAGCAAATACGATGCACCAAGTCTAGATCTATTCTATCGATCAACTGGTAGAATACTGAGGAATGATGCATGTGTGAATGAAGTTCACATTATGCCAGAAGAAATACAAGCAGATCCTGTTTTATGGTCAAAATTAGTCACTGAAAATATTAAATTTCAAGAGAAATCAACTAAATACAACAAACTTCTTAATACATTGGATAATGACAAGAATGTTTTTGCATAAAGTTTTATACACAGTTCAAAAATATTTTATGAACAAACAATTACTGTAAAAATAACAAACAATAGTAGCGCTACTAACGATGATAACGATAATAATGGTTACGGTCACACATTTTTTCAGAACCTCGTTCTTATACAGTTTTAAAAAACGGGCACTGAATATTAAATTCATGATCACCGTGTTATAGAAATTTGAGAGAGAATAACTACTTGTTAAAAATACTTTGTTTATCATCCGGTAATTGCAAAACATTCAGATAGATAAGAGATTAATTCTTAGAAATCTTAGTTCCTACTTAAAAGATCTCGTGGGGGTGTTATGTCATCCTCATACAGGACTGAACATCTCCCTGCTAGCATCTTCTGTAAGCGCACCATTTCGCTGAATCTCATAAATCGATAGTCTCCATATTTGGTCAACTTGTTATATGAGAGATATCTTCAGTTTGGACAACAGGAAGAAAAACTGACTTTCACCAGAAAAAAAGTTGTGTTCTTCAAAGTTATAGCTCTTCATCACAATATAAACATAGGTTGGAAACTAAATGAAATAAAAGATATTTTTAATATAAACACGCAAAGTGTGATCAAAGAAGACTAAACAACCAGTGGTAGTGCAATCAGAATAAAGTGGTCGTGTCCAGAATAGCGTTACGTTGATATACAATTATGCATGATCTTCTTTACCATATTTCCTAGAAAATGAAATATACAACCAGAATAATTACAGTTATACTGATTTATTCATGAGCTTTGGTTTTCCCTACGTTTTATGATGACATAAGAATATCTAGCAAATTCAGTATATTAAACATCGTCTCTGACACTTTCAACAACAAGCAATGAGAGAGACTTTTACTGATAATTGACTGATATTTGATTAAAAACAATTTACGTTATTCAGAATAGAAGTCAACGATAGACTTTCACTTGCAGAAGAGTTATTATGTTTACAGATTTTTTTTGCTATGAATTAACTTGAATAAGGAGCATTAAATTCTAATTCCTGTAAGTCTTATTTTTATTCTTAACTGAAACACCTGGACGCGTATTTCAAATTTTTTGCCGACTAGCACGAAAACTAGATCCGCAAAATCTCTTTAATTGGGTCCTCAAAACACTTAACACTATGAACACTTACTTGTACAGCAGCATCTATATTAGTAACTGCATGAAACACCACTGTATTCAGAACTAGATAACTATATAGGTTATAATGCGCAAATCGATTTGCATAGAGGATATTCATAGTTTGATCATATCTGTTAAGCCAGTGAATTCCAGCTGAAGGAATCGAATCCTAACAACGGAAAAAACAAAGTCAAATGTATTATTTAAGCATGCATTTTCATTTTGTTATAGTATACTTAGCCTTTATCGTGAGGAAGGACATAATAAATAATTTATTTTCCAAGGTTCTCATCAATGCTTTCTTTACCATGAAGAAAGATGGATCAATACTAAAGTATTATGCTCATGCCTTAAGCAAGCAACGACCACATTCACTGAGTGGTTCGACCACGGAGTAGTTATCAACAGTCATCTGGAATAACTTTAGAATGGAATAACCCATGTAAGTGTTTTCACAAGTCTTTGATTAGCTCATCTTGCAGGACTTATTATCATCGATCGTATCAGCAGTCAATGTATTCATAGTGTATTTTATAGTGACAAATTTGGCAGTTTAATCCATCTTGCACTAATCTAATTCCTAACTGAAATAATCACAATTCTACCAAACATAATACAAAGATTTTTTCAAGAGTGAAAATCGACTGCAGTAGACCAAATTTAAGGAGAAAGTAAATAAACCATTTATCGTCTAAATTTCAGAATAATGATTATCCTTGAAATTCTGTGAGGATTATCGTACTCCAGTAGCTTAAACCGGTTCTTTCCTGCACAAACTTCTACTTTAGTTCAGTTAGAAGTCACATAACTTTTTCAAAATGTAATTGATGAATTCATTTCCATCCATTGGGACTAAAGGGGAGTTCAGTTTTTAATTCATCAAAAATATCTAACAGGTCCCGGTCAGGATAAAGAGTGACGTATCTACAAAATCTCTTTACTGTATAATATGCAAGCTAAATATTGGAATGACAAGAGATGATAAGCCTAATTTAATCGATATACTGTGTTCGAAAGAGTGGTCATCCAGTTTGATTCATTTTTATGAGAAAAAACTGAAGGTTAATCTTCACGAAGTATATTTTCCCCCATGGTTGATGTAGGATTAACCGAGTTTTCTCCGCGCACTTTAGAACATTATCTAAAATAAAGATTACTTCAGAAAAGTGCAACACTCCATCAAATTTTTGTGTTATGCATCGAATCCTGTAGAGGATAGAATTCAGCTGGAATATGATAGAGTTTCATGAAAAGTAGTGATATTGAAAAGAAGAATGTGCATGATTCATTCAGCCCCTCATTTTTATTCTCCAGTGAAGAATTTTCACCTTATAGTTTTACGAAGATTAATTTTCCCACAGCATCTTCAAATATATGAAGAATAATAATGATCAGTAGCAAACTTCTAAATAATAGTAAGATTTTCTGTATTGTTATGAAATTAACAAAAGGGTTAAGGAAATCTTTAACGTTACACAATTTCTAATACACCATTCTCCAAACAATATGCCATTTTTGATTAAATACTAGGTGGTAAGTAACTAGCATCATGCATCTAGTTCATTGTCTGGTGCAGACTGAATTCTATCAGTCAAGTTTGTCATGTGACCATTGTGCTAAGTGGCTATTCGAGCCTGAATAGCTCAGTGGTAACGTCTCTGAATGTTGCACTGGGGGAAACAGATTCGACTTTGCGGATACGCCTTGCTGACGAGTGCCAACAAGCAGGAAACCTCGGCCCAAGGCTTCCTGCTGAATGCCTCCAACCATCTAATAATATGCCAATCAAATGAGGTATATCTCAGCATTTTTTTCCGTATTCGTATACATTATGTGCTCTTTGTCTTCTATGTTGTAAAGAATATAGATAGCAAAGTCATTAATAGCAGTTGATCTTTGAGTATACTACCATACACTACGATGTCACTTCCTTTCTTTCTTTAAGCTCATAACAGTAGATTGAAAATGCAAAAATTATTTTGGTATGACGCCAGACAATGGATAATATAAACAAAGGAAAAGTGATTCAGTTTACCATCACATATATGATGAAAACCTAGTTGTCCAAAAGGCCAAGCTCGCCAAAGAAATGTCAACAGAATAAAGTTTTTCCGTGGAATAGAATAATTAATCACACAACTGAAACAATTTGTCAGATACGAATCATCCTATTTATTAGTAAAAAGTAGTATAAGTCTGAAGTCATCAGAATCAGAAAGAGTCAAATTTTTTCTTTGGTAAATCAGACTGCAGTGAGACATAACAGAGTTAATTCTTGCATATTGGCTTTACTTCAGTGTTTCATCTGTTAACAGACTTCCGTTAGGTGATGTCGTTCTGGTAGCATTCGACTCTTATTCAATACTTGTACTTCTTTGAAAAGATTTATCGGCTGTTTTACTTTCCTCTGAGGTATACAAAGTTTGGTCACTTTAATTACATATCATGCTATGCATAATTTCGGGAACGTCATTACTTTTATTATTGTCTATTCTAAAAATAAAATTGGAATATTGTTAGGAAAATTTAGACGTAGACAGATTAGGGTAAGCAACTGGTCAGTAAAATCACTAACTGCTGACATGAACTATGTAGAGAAGTGTACGTTGCTTAGAGATGGCCATCTAAATATTAAGAATCGATGATGACAGACCGTCTGGTAGAACCGTAATTGGCTAAAATTTATCACTGAAGTCAAAAACACTAAGTAATTTCTTTCCATGTTTGGTGTCTGTAGTATTCATTTTACTCATCTCACATATTTCAAGGCCACTCGTTATGCTTTTTGGCTAAACATAGATAAAGCTGATAAGTAATAAATTACACAGTGGGGGATACATCTCTGGTTGACAACATGAATCGCTTAATTGAATTATTTTGCAACTTCACACCTTTTCAAGCAGAAGTATTCAACACCTAGTCATCATCGTCAGTCTGACTTATAATTAGGCAAAGCTGTAGATATTTTCATGGTTATTATAAGAACTTATTTCATTCCTCTAAATTTCTATTTGAAGTAATCCTTCTACGCCTCCACTAGATTTATCCTTAAGTAATAGTAGAATCTAGGTACCATGGTAGAACATAATTACCTACTGAATAAGTGTATTTGACATAGTGCACAACGATGCAGCGTTAATAACTGGATGCTGATTCGAGCAACATTTATTGCTCATAATCACATCACATTAGCTGCCTAACCTACTTATTCATCTCTAGTAGTATTTCCCATTTTCTCAGTCAACAATATCATTAACGAAACTGTCATCTTGGCATTATGAGGATATATAATTCAAACAAAACAATTCACATAGTGAAAGAGGACAGAAAGTGTGGTTTGGAATTGTTTAGAACTTATTAGGACGGCATAAAAGTGATAAATTTAAGTTATTATGATAAATTCGGAAAAAAACATTTGGCTACAGTTGAGGTATTTTGATGTAGCCACTCATTTCATCAGTCCAATTTTATTTGCGAAATCAAGCAAAAAGACAGTCTTGCGGTACTATAAGACTTCCACATTGATAAACCATGATCATCTGTGCATTTATATATATATATATAGTTGGCTTTGCGGCAGTCATTCCCTTGTCTTGATCACTTATAGTTTTGTAGTGAGGTGTGATTATCGTCGTCCGACCGTTGAGACATTAACATGCTCTTTTCCTGTTTTCCTGTGACAGTAGAAACCGTTGCTAACGCCATCTTTCTTACCTTTTTTCTCGGTTGCTAAAACAAATGGAAGAGAAAAAATATATATATAAAGATAACTTTATTGTATTGATTAACAAATATGTAGTCAATATAACAAAACAAGAAACTATTGACTCATTTAGTCTCGTCAACACAAAACGATATCATATGATACGATGTGTTATAAAAGAATGAGAAGAAAAGCATTTTGAGGAAAAGAACTGATGTCCGTGAGTCTAAGTATGTCT